AATTTTCTTGAGAATTTTGTAGGCATTGTTCTTCTGTTTTCATCCTGCTTCTGGTATTGCTGTTGAGATCTGGCTCTATTGAGAAGTCCAAAGCCAATCTAATTTTTGATCCTTTACACCTGTTTATATCCTCTGTAGAAGTTTTGTAGAGTGTCCTTTTGTCTCCCCGTCCTGAAAGTGACAGTGCTGTCCTTTGGTGAGCATCTGTTTTCATCATCATCAGGCCCTGATAATGTGGAATGTCACATTCACCAGTTTGGGAGAAGTTTTTGAATTATTTTATTGCTGATTTCTTCAATTCCTCGCTTCTCTCTTTTTAGCACTCATGATTTGCATATGGGACCTCCTGTCTTGTCTTGGTCCTCTAATACTCTCTTTACTTCCCAGCTCTTTATTGTCTTGACTTTTGGGGGGATTTCCTCAGCTTTATTTTCCAACTCTTGAGTGTTTAATTTTTCCTAAACATCGCTATGTTGTTAACTTCCAGTAGCTCCTTTGTTCTCTGAATGTTTCCTTTCTTTGTTTTATTTAACGAAGAACATGTTTTTGTTTACTAGAAGCAGTATATGTCTTTCTGAAATGTTACTTTTCTTCTTCTTGAATAGTTTTTTCCCTCATGTATACTTTCTTCTTAGTCTTTAATGTCATGGTAAAGGCCTTTCTCAGATGGCTCATTATCTGCTCACAATAAAAAATAGGGGACTTAAGCCAATTAGGAGTTTGTATGTAGGTGAAGCTTCCATGAACTCTGGGCCTCACTGAAGGGTGATTTAGGTGGCCCATTTATTAAGGAGCCCACAGTGCTTCTGTATTTCCTCTTTCTTCGCAGTTCTGGCAGCTCCACAGAGAAGTGTGCTCCAGTAGTCTGCCTAGAGTTGTGCTGTTTGGTCCAGTAGCCACTCACCACCTTGAATGAGTGGTTCTTCGGCTGAATTAGCCACATAGAGTGTGACTATCATACTGGACAGCACAGCTACTGAACATTTCCATCACTGCAGGAAATTTTATGGGAGAGTGCTGGAGTAGGACTGAAATCTTGTTCCCAGCCCCCAGAAAGCCCAGTGAGGAAAGGCTGGGTCTCAGGTTCAGGATTCTCTATGTGTGTGGTCACTTAATCCCACTGTGTATCCCCTAGTCCAGAAGGCTAGTTTTACTTTCTTCAGAGAAGATAAGGCCTAAACAGTATGCTTAATAACTCATTGTCACTTTCATCACTCATTTACTTTTTGGCCTTTAAATCTTTCTGGTACCAGTTCCTCCACTGCATTTTCTGGGAGTGCCCCTGGTTAGAGGTTCTTTACCTCACCTCTCTCAGTATGAACAGTGTTAGGGAACCAAGTCCCTTACCTCTTTAGCTGGAAATACCACTGATATTGTTGATACCTTACTTTTGAGGCTCTTGTTTGGATTAGATGAGAACGTAAAGTGCCTACTTTAAGACACTTGACATGATCAAAGTAGAGAGGTCCTTTTAAAATACGAATTTACAACTCCACTATGCATCTAATTTGCCCCACCATGTGCTTATGAGGTAAGTAAAACAGAATAAAGGGCCACTGAGGTTCGGATACTGGACCGTTGACCAGATATTATTACTACCTAAATGATTTTTTTTTTTTTTAACCCAGTCTTAGAGTAATCAAATTTTGAGTTTCAGGTAAATTTTGGAGTATTTACATGTTAAGGACCTTTAGTTGCTCATGAATAATTAAATCTGCAGGCATTGAATATGTCACTGCCAAGAGCCTTCTGTAAAGTGCCTGGCAAATATTAGGTGCTCAAAAGGTAGGCCTTCGAGAATTTTCTCCAGCCTCTCCATCTGTAAGCATCCAGGTTAAGTGATGTGGTCGTGATCATCAGACTCTTGCTTTGTGGGAGCTGGGTCAGATGGTCTTGGCTCACAGACCGCTCTGCTACCGGCATCTTTCAATGCTAGGATTTTTGTCAACAAATTCCATGTACTGCCAGTTTTAAAGAGAAAAGAAGCTGATTGCTTTAAGGTTTTTAACAAAACCAGTCCATTCACTCCTTGCATGGATGCCTATATGCACCATTAGCACTTATTCCAAAATAGGAGTCCTAGGCCTTAGGTTTTTTCTTGGTGACATGTCAAAGGTGGTGGTCTTGGCTCTCCTGGCCTGGGTTTGTGTACTTTGTCCCTAGGACCTGTGCTGTGGTGACTCTTGGAGCTCCCCACTGTGTACATTGTATCTCATGAATATCTGATGAGTTACAGTCCCCTGCTTAAGCGGTGCTGTTTCAAATTTCCGTGACTCTGCATGTTTTGTTTTACTACCTGGAATAATCTTTACCTTCCCCAACCTCACATCCTCCAAGAGCCCAGTGCATTTTTTAAATCCCTTTTAATGGAGTTCCTCCGGCCTTCCTTTGCTCTAGCCTTACCACACCCCGCATGCTCCGCTCTATCCTCTGTTGTGGCGCACAGCAGGTGGAATTGCAGCTGTTTCTTAGTCTACCTGTTAGACTCTGGGAGCAAGGCTAGTTACTGTTTCAGCTGTGAGGTGATTACATAAGGACGTTTTATGAAGGAAAGGAAGTTTCCTTCCTGAGTAAGAAACTAGAGGTATCTGGGCTATGGGTTTGTTAACCCATCTTCTCACTCCCACCCTGCTCCCCGTTTGGGGTGCTTCCAGTTTTTGGCAGTTATGAAATGAATAAGCTGCTGTGAACAGGTATACAGGTTTTCGTGTTGCCGTAAATTTTCATCTGTCCTGGACACTCAGTGGGGTTGCTGGGTTGTACTATGAGTGCGCATGGGACGTTGCCTGCCGCCCTCAGTCTGTGTGAACTCTTACTCTGCGGCATCCTCGTTAGCACTTGGTATCACCAACTTTTCTATTTTGTTTTGTCTTTTTCAATTTTAGCGATTCTGAGTAAGAGTGTAGCCGTCCTAATTGTTAACCGTAGTTGTCTGTGAAACCTGTGAGAGTTGGAAGTAGGCAGAATGGAGCTGGATTTAAATACAGAGCCAGGGAAGAGTTCCTGAGAAGGCGATTGAGAGACTGCGAGGTTTATGAGAGCTTAGCATGTCTGTCATACCTATAGTGTTGTCCCCAAGTGACGAGCACAGAGCCTTGTGCCCACAGTAGGAATCTCTTTGTGTGTTTATTGAGTCATTGAACAAATGATCCAGAGGTTAGGGAAACCTCTCTAGGGAAACCAGGAACTGGATGGAAAAGTAATTTTAGATTAGACTTGGCCTGAGTAACCCCAGTATGTTCATGGGACACATCTTTTTATATCTGCGTCTGTGTTTACAGATGTGTTTAGAAGCTGACTCAGGTCTCTGATTCCCAGCCCCTCAGTGGGAGGGAGGTGGCATCGTATCTTGGTAGAGAGTGGAAGGCAGCAAAGACTTGATCTGTTAGCTGGCTAGGGGGAGTTAGGAAAGCAAGTCATCGGGATTCTGGTTCTCCGCTTTATCGCTATAAAATGAAAAGATTTTATTAGATGATATCAGTATCTAAAGGAAATACAATATACATAGTTAAAGGAGCTTAATCATATCAGATGACAGATAGTTTAATAAGCAAGGAAAAAGCATGTCTGAGGCTTTGTTGGATATGTACAGAGGGAGTGTGAGCCCAGCTTTTCAGGGAGATTAGGGGTAAGTGTCCAGAGAGCTAGTGAAGGGCGCTTGGGCAGAGACAAACAGAGCAACAGAGGTCCTTAGAGGGTTTCAGGTAGAGGAGCAGCACTGTGGATTGTCTTTTTTTTTTCCTGGTTTAAAAAAAGCTTTCCCGTAAAGACTGGGGACAAGCTGCCCAAGTGTCTTCTTTCCATGCAAAGGGCCTCAGAAAGCGAGGCTGAGGGTGCGGAGTAGCACCTGGGCGAGTCAAGTGTTGGGCCCCTGCTCTTCAGCGGTCTTTCTCTCCACCCTCACTCAGAAGTTTAGATCGAGAGTTTAGCAGAAATCCAGTTCTCAGATATTCATTCTCTTTGTACTCGGAAGGATGTTGTACGCATACTGTCAAGTGCTGGTAGAGGTTTAAAAAACTACTACATGCCCGGATAAACTTGAGTCTGTGTTAAGGGATTTGACCTGTTTTATTATTTGCCTGACATTTATGAAAGCACTTTGACATTTGAAATTTTATTTGTTCCATGTTCTGAATATTTAAAAGGAATCACAGGTCTTGATCACTGGAATACCTTTTGTAATATAAAAATTTTAAAGCCATTATTGTTTTCATAATTTTAATGATTCTAACAGTTTTATTATACCTAGGCAAACTATATTTTTGCTCTATGGTGGTTTAGGTTATAAAATCAAATGTGTGATTATTCATTTTAAACTGTGTTTCCAACAGTTTATTTTAAAATGTCAATACTAACTGTTTCTGGTTATGAAGACCCTGAAAGTAATCTTTTGGCAAATAGTTTAGGAAATTGAGGAGTCTGACTTCTGCTTTATCTTTCAGCTTATAAAAAAACAAACAAAAAACAGTTTAAGATGAGTTGCCTAAAGATACTACTTTTAGGTTCTAATGTGAAGGATTAATATTTCTAGGTTTTTAAAAAAAATTAGTGTACTCTAAAATTGCCAACCCTTTTAGGCAAAGTCAGTCTTAGGAAGCTGTTCTGTAATTCTTGGTCCATTAAGTCTACTTTTTATAGTAGGATATAAAAATTTTTGGAATATTTTAAGGTTTATATTGAGTAACTTCTACAGGTTTTTGTTAATACTAATAACCAGTTTAAAAAAAAAAAGGTGGCTTAAGTGAGACAGCCTTTTTTTTTTTTTTTAAAGGTTAGACGTTTATTCTGATAATATTGATTATATTGATTTCTAATGTCCTGGAAGTTTGTTAGATCTGTAGGACATGTATGAGGGTCACCTTTATGGTATTGGAGCTCTTATATTCTTTATTCGAGCCTTTTCTGTAGCCCTGTATTCAAAGATTATTTTATGTGTTTTCAATTTGGGCAGTTATATGTATAATAAAAAAATACATTTTTTTTTTTTTTGTATCTTTCAGAATCATGGTGTCATGGAAAGGGATTTACTTTATACTCATTCTGTTTTGTGGAAGCTTTTTCGGAAGCATTTTCATGCTGGGCCCCTTTATACCTTTGATGCTTGTAAGCCCATCTTGGTATCGTTGGATCAACAACCGCCTTGTGGCAACCTGGCTCACGCTGCCCGTGGTAAGTCACACGTCAGATAAGGAGATGGGCCCAAAGTAGCCCAGCTGACCAGTTTTTATTTTGTTAGAGTTAGATTTAGTCAGATGTTAAAATAAACATAAATCCTTTCTGGAGGAAATACAGGAACTAGAGAGAATTAAATATAATTCATGTCCTTGAAGTAAAATATCTAAGAACCATATTCCAAAATTAAGAGCTTCTTTTATATTCCTCATGAAGTTTATTTTCCTTCATCGAAAATTATTACATCATTAGTTTTGTATTTCCATTTATTTTACAAAATAATGGCAAAATTAACATTAGATACACTATTTTTTTGAACTTTTGATATTGATGTGATTGATTTAATTCTTCTCAGTTAAAACAGAATTTAATAATAAAGTGGTTTCCCATCTGAGGGCTAGAGTGACAACATCTGTAAGGTAAAAGAACGCACAAAATGTATAGTAAGATTCTTGGAATAGACTGGTATTTTCTGCAAGGTCCGTGCATACAGCTCTAAGCTCATCTCTGTGATTCTGAGCTTGGCAACGTCCTGTAGGGTTCCAGTCCATCCTCCTCCCTCGTCTGGATTGAAGCTGCTTCGGCCCTTCCCTGTGGCTGCTAGTCAATAGTGCCTTCTCCAAAAGTGGAGTGACACCATGCATTGCCTTTATCTTGAATAGGCTCTGTTTCCTGAGGCTGTTCTGCTCCTTTTTCCTGAGCAACAGCTAGAACTTAATGTTACTGGGTTTATGGACAGTCATGGTGGGGGTGATGAGGATATACCAAGAGGGACTCCTCTGCTTTCAGTAGCTGAAGGATCTTTTTCCATCCTTGTCTTTTGAACTGTGTTGCGCGTTTCCCCTCAGGCAGCCTGCCCTTGTCACATCTGTGGAGAGGAAAGTCCACTAAAGCTGTGGACTTCTCAGGCGGAGGTTGATGGGGAACTGTTTACAGTGCACCCTTTTCATATTTTCAGAAGGATTCCTGTGGTAACTAGTTTTAAGAATTGCATTTGTCCTTTGTCAGAGGTTAATTTTTTAAAAAATTATTCAGGTATGTGTTTTATGAAACATGATAGTGTTCGACTAAAAGTAGCGTCCCCTATCTCTCCCTGTCCCTCCCTCGTCTCCTCTTCCCCCTTCCTTTTCTGTATTTGCACTTAATCTACAAGCACAAAGAAAGGACCACAGCATAACTGGTAGATGATAAATAACTATAACTGGTATGGTTGCATATTTAATCCAGATTAAGGAGAAGAATTGCAAGATTGTGTTGAAGGGTAATGATGGTCATAGCTGTTAAGCACTTCTGTGGCAGATACGGTGCTATTAATAAATACTTGAGGACACCTTCATTCCAGGCACCACTATTATCCCAAGTTTACGGAAGCGGTAGAAGCTTTGCAAATTTAAATGATTTGCTGAAGGTCACATGCATAAGCAGAGCTGAGATTAAATCTAGTTTGCTGCCATTAGAGCCTTAGGTGATAGGAAAACCTTGAAGGATTGGTCAGGGTCACATGGTACTTGACCTTCCAGTGGTAAGAAGTTCACTGGGACCTCCTGACTGTTGCAAAAGAAGAAGGTTTCGAGTTCTTTCAAGCCAGGGCATGCCTCAAGGGAAAAAAAAAATTTGAGAAACTGTTAACTACTAATAAAATCAGTCTCAGTGGCATGGTGATTTCTCACAGCGAAAGAGGAAGGTTGGTAAGAAATAGTCCTACAAAGCCTTCGAGAAGCCAAAGACCGAGGTTGATGAAGTACCCGGAATAAGGTACATGAAGTGAGTTGTGCAGTATTCTCTCCCCGTCTGTTTCGAAAGAAAATGACATGTACGTATGGAAATGTTTATATATGTGAGATATGTGTGTGTCGTGAACACAATTGAGTCACAACCTAGGGACCACAGAATGTACCCTGAGCCGGTCACAGTCCACCCGAGGTTCCTATTTACCACCTTGTGTCAAATGGAAGAGTCGGGATCGGGTAGGGCTTTCATGCTCGCCTCCTTGGTGCTGCTGCTGCTGGCCTAACACATCCACTTGCACAATAAACTCTAGGGTGAGTGTTACAGCTTTTCCCTTTTACTAGTCCTGTGTCTTTCAAAGAAATAGTATGAGAGAATATAGTCTTGTATTTATCTAAGTATTTTCCATTTATAGTATTCTTTATCCTTTATTAGAGTTTCTGTCTGGTATCATTTCCTTTCAGCCTGAAGGACTTCCTTTAGCTTGTCTTGCAGTGAGGGCTCCTGTGGATTAATTCTGTTTTCTTTTAGTGAAAATTTCTTTATTTTGCCTTTGTTCTTGAAGTTCTGTTTGCTGGCTGTGAAATTTATGGGATGACAGTTTTTCTTCTTTCCATACTTTAAAGTTCTACTGTCTTGTGGTCTCCTTGTTGTTGATGAAAAGTTAGCTATCCTCTATTGTTGCAGCCCTTTTTCTCTGGCTGCTTTCAAGATTTCTTTCCCTGTTGTGTTTTCTTTGTTTGCTTGTTTTCAGCAGTTTGGTGATGATATGCTAGGTCTAGTTTTCTTTGTTTATTTTGCTGTGTTTCATTGGGCTTCTTAGATCTGTAGCTTTGTTTTTTCCACTTTGGAATGTTTGGGGCTCGTGTTCCCTCACTTTTTTTTTTTTTTTTTTTTTTTTCCCTGCTCCATTCCTCTCCCCTCTCCTTCTGGGACTGCAGTTGCAGGTGTGGTAGATGCTTACGTTGCTGTACAAGTCACCAGGTTCATTGACCCTCTCTTCTGCTGCCTCTATTTAAAATACCATACTTTCAAGTTCTAGAATTTATATCGGGATCTTTGTTGGCTTCATTACATTCTGAGCTTTCTCATCTGTTTAATTCATCATAACCTTATTTTCCTGTAACTTAGCTGAGTGGTGAGTTTTCAGGGCAGGAAGCAACAGCCACCTTCCCTATTTTTTTTTTTTTCCTCCTCTAGGAAGTACATTGCATCAAATATTTGTAATATTCTTTCATTATCAGTATGGATACTCCTTATACATTTATGTAAAAATTCTTTTTCCTTTCATAGTAGAAGGAAGGACTTTTCTGGTAAGTTTTGTTAACTGTTGTTTATGTCAGAAGTGATCAGCAGGATCCTGGACATTGATCCAGCAACTATTTGTTAAGTGTCCACTGTGCGCCAAGCCTATTGCTAGAAGGTGATGATGAGCAGGACAGACAGGACCTCTGACCTCGTGAAGGTAATAGTGTTCTACCCGAGCCATCTTGCCTAGTTGTAGATACACACAGCTTGACTAGTTTGTCTTTCATTCGCCTGAGAGACTGCCTCCTTTGCTAGACAACAGAAGGTGACTTCTCAGGCCATGAATTTTTTAGAGGTAGATTTTTAAATTAGCTTTAAAATGATGTCTGTTGTTTCATTGCGGCTTTCAAACAGACCATTTAATATGGAATACTCGTTTTTATGGTGTTGCTTACCCACTAGTAGTACTTATTTACAAAATGAGTATTTCTCCATCAAATATCATATTTATATTAAGTAAAATAAGCACATAATGCCCAGCTCACATAAGCTTAACTGTCATAAGTACATATTTCTAAGAAGTCCTCTACGAGCTACCTGAATGTTAACTAATTCCGTTTATAGTCACTATAAACCAGAGACATTTCATTTTGAAAACTTTCAACTTTTTTCAAGTCAATTATATAACTTTTTAAAGATTTTTATTTTATCATCTGTAAAATAAAGAAACGAGTAGATGATCTTTTGAGAGCCATTGCTGATTCAGCACTGTGTATCTGATTCTAAAATGTTTAGAGGTAAACGATTTTTTGGTAATGATCATACATTGCTTTACATTTTATTTAAAGTCTTAAATTTTCCAGTGTATAATCTTTTGAATATGAATCACATTTTTGGCTACACCTTTCTACCAAAACCTGAAGGGTTTTGAAAATTTTCTTGCAGTTACTATGTTGGTAGGAGTCATTGCAGTTGACATGCTTTAGTGTCCAATCAATTTCCTCGGAGAGCCAATATAAGTGGAGTGCTTATTGGTACAGACATTTGATTTCAGTACTGACCTTACCACTTTCTAGTCATTTGAACTTGGCGGAACTACTTAGCCTCCCTAAACTTCTCTTTTCATTTGAAAAACAGGGGTTCTAATACTGCCTGCTTCCCTCAGGCAGTTATTCTGATGAGCGAATGAGGTAGTGAAGATAGCTTTTTCAGAATACAGTGGCTTGAGTAAGGTAGAACTTTATTCATCCGCAGGACCACGTGGGCAGGGTAGCTCTGCTCCCATGTCATTCAGGGACTCAGATTCCTTCCATCCAGCCTGGCATAATAATATGGTCAGGACTGGTCACTACCACTTTTTTGCCCCACTCTGCAGGAAGTGGGTCTGGGAGGAAATCCAGAGCAAGGGTTTCCTTTAAATCAGTGAATTACAAAGAGCACCTATTTCTCTTGCTCACCCCATTGGAGGGAATGGCTGATGGCTATAATAACATCCGGGAAATACCGTCTTTCCTCTGGGCAGCTAGGTACATAACTAAAATCTGTTACTCTGGAAGAAATGCTGGACTTCACTAAACAAATTCTGCCATAGCTGCTTCTGCTGTCACTCTTAGCGCTGGTACTGTCACACAGCAGTACACCATACACTATGGTACAAGTCTTTATTACAACTCCAGTTGCATGCAGTAGGGGGGATGAGCGAAGAGTGGAAAGATAATATGTGTGTGTGTGTTTCTTTTTTTTTTTAATCTAGGGTTACCCTCACCCCTGTTGAAAGTGAGAGGAAATGTGAGTGGTGCTATATTGAGTGTCATTCTTGTGTTTTAAATAGCATGTAGATCAATCACTTCATCTGATGGTCAGGTGGAAAAAGCTGTTCTAGCATTCTTTAGGAAAAAACTGAGCTGAATTTATTGATATGTACTGGTCTCCTGTGAGGTACATTTCTGTGAGATTTTCAGTGGTCAGTTTCAGCTATTCCTGACTTTTGCTCTGAGAACTTAACACACAGGCAGAATTCAACAACCATCACTGTAGTTTTAAATTAGTATATATTTGAAAAAATTTCTATTACCTGTTTAACTCACTGCCTTGTTTATGAGTAAGGGCATATCAAGCAGAGTCTTTCAGCTAAGAAATTTATAGTTGAATGCCTTACAGCTAAGTCACAAAAAATTGTCAGTTTCTTTTATGATCTTTTATTTCATACTTCTACAAGGTCCTAAAGAAGTTTTTATTTCGAAGCAAATAGATTTTTTTTTTTTTTACCCAGAGGGAATTTAGTCTTTTCTCAGCTATACATGTACTTTACTTTAAGCAGTCCCAAACAATTAAAAAAAAATGTTCACTAATAATAGATTAGGTAAATGGATTTAAACAAATTACTGCTTCACCGAAATAATCATAAGGCGATCTTTTTTGTAAGCATCTCTTATGCATTAAAATGATTTCATTGGCAAGATTTTTCTTCTCTTACCATTTTTAAGGAGCATTTTGCGTTTTAAATGAGGTTCCCCAGTAAAATCTTCTAGAATCTTAGTGTTAGGCGAGACTTAGAGGTCACCTCGTCTAAACTGTGTAAGAATTCCTTCCAGAACAGTCTGCAGAGTGACCATTCTCTCTTGGTACGTACCTACAGCGGGGAGTGTAGGTCTTAATTCATTTCATTTTTGGACAGTTCGTTCAGTATAATCACTATTGTCAAGATCAGACTTTGCATGTGCCCAGAACACTTTTTGCTTCTCAAAGTTGGGAGTCTTTCCAATGGTCCAATTGTAGCTAATAATCTGGGATTATGTAAATTATTTGGAGTTCTGTCCTTTCACCCTAGTCATGACTTAGGAGTTTAGAGATCATTTGATAACTCCCCACGTAGGACACAAGTCTCTTCCACAGCCTGCTGATTACAGTCCAATCCTAGAATAAAACAGGTGTTCAACAGATACAGGGTATAGTTTCTACCTAGACTGCCATTAAGAGAAGGGGTACTGTGTTTGATGAATGGCTTGGGATTGCAAGATTTTAAATAGCTAAGGATTTGAAGAGCTGGGCCTAAGTGAAGTCTGAAAAGCCCAGGCAGACTAGGAGAAGGGGAGCGCCACAGAGTTGTTTTTACCTCAGACTAAATAAAGATTCATCGGAAGGATAAATGAGAGCTTGGGGCGTGATGGCAAAACTGATTCTCTGTGATCATGAAGGGGAACCTCTCATCTTTGTGTTTTCAGACACGGTAGAACACTTTGAGGTAGTGATTAGTGGTCTATAAAAGATCCTCAGAAATTACTTCCATAAACCATTATTAAATTTTATAAGATTAGTTTTTCTTCTATACTAGTTTCTATTCTGGACTAGGAAAAAAGACAGTATTCTCACATTTTTTTCTAGAACAGTTCTTAATCTGATTAATCAGTTTTAATCCAATTATTTGAATTCTGCAGTTTAGCCACGTTATAACCTTATCTCTGTGTAGTAAATATTTGTAGTTCTGCCTTTGCAGGAGCTGTAAATAACTTGACTAGATAGGTCTTGTCTGGTATTACAAATGATTAATGTGAGTTTGAGATCTAGGCTGTCCAAAAGGTTATATATAACTTTCAGGCATATTCTGATGAAGTGCTGGATGGCAAGGGAGAGAGTGCTGTATGATATGCTCCTGGACAAACAGTCTGGATTTATTTTGACATTTGGGATCCACGGGATACATGTATTAGAAATTGCACTTAAAAGGTGAGGGTTGAGGTTTGGGATTTATAGGCTTTAAGATTTTTTAACTCTTTTATGTGGCACAATACACAATTAACAGTCAACTTCATCTTTCTACCAGTTAAGGGAAGGGCATCCTGCATTTTAGTTCTTTGTAAAAACTGTAAAGTATCATTTGGAAAGTGGAGTGGAGCTGGACCCAATTAATAAGCCATAGATGGTGACTTCACACATGTCTTCTGGGCTGAGACATGTAATTCAGTGATTCATTTTGGGAGTTGATGGTCCTGTGTACTTAGAAAGAGACAGTTCCTGCTGCGGGTCCAAGCCTAGAGGACTCTGCCATGGCTCTCTATCGAGAAGTCTACCTAGGACTTGACTTCCCAAGACTTTGGAGTGGGGGTTATAATTATTTGAGTGACCCTTTTGAAAATCAGATGAAAACTACAGGCATTGAGCAGAGTACCTGTGTATACATTTTCAGGAGGTGTTCGTTTTTATTTACTCCCTGAAGGCCATACTTCTAGGACTTGATGTCAGGTTAAACACCCAGGCCCTAAAGTAAATCTCAGCTCTGGGAAGGTAACTTGATGGGATCTGTGGGATATCATTTTACTCTGTTAAGATATTGACACTCTGATTGCATAATTCTTTGGACATAAAACACTTCTGACTTTTCCTTAGCTAATATTCCTTTTAACCTTTTTTTTCTTGGTCCTGTGTTTATTTTGAAGTCCTGTTTTTGTGAAATGTAACAAACATAGCCAATGTTTGTAAAACATAAATGCACACTTTAAAATGATCTATTAAAGTGTAGCTATCAACCAGTTCAAGAATTAGAGTATTGGAAGGTAGGTGGTTTGCCGGAGGGCTGAGAAGTAACAATCATTTCCTCCTTAATAGAAGCAGCCACTAACCTGACCTATAAGATAGTCGTTCCCTTGCTGTTCTTTATAATTTTATTGGCTATATATTTATTCCTAAAATATCTTAGTTGCGGTCTGTTTTAGGAAGTTTTATATATGGCACTTTTTGTTTGTTTTGCTTCTCTCAGCATTATGCTAGTGAGCCATCTGTGTTGTTGTAGATACCTGTAGTTCGTTTACTTGCATTGTTGCTCCATATTCTGTTATATGTTGTACTGCAGTTTATGCGCTTTATACTTCCACAAAGGTTTTCAATCCCTTTTTTCCATTAATAGTGAAGTCATATTTTATCTAGTAAATTTTTTACCTAAAAATTACTAGAAAATTTAAGTAAGGGATTGAAATTAATAATCAAGTTTTCTTATTTTCTGTTTTTTTTTCCTCCACAAAACCAGTCTGTAATATATTTTCTTCTAAATATTTATATGCCTGCTTATCAGAAAAGTTCCAAATTCAGTAAATACTTGAGCATCTTCTAGGTACCGGGTACTGGGGCTGCAGAAGTTTATAAACATATAGTTATTTTATCCTTTATATTGTTAAACAGATATGTGTATATGTTTAAAAAGATCATAATACAGAAAGGTATAAAATGAAAATTTTGACTTTCTGTTCCCTCAGCCCTATACTCGGTGTTAAGTTTCCTGATTATCCTTTCTAGAGAGTAATAATGTATCTATAGCCTTAAGAAATTACACAGTGGAGGGGACGCCTGGGTGGCTCAGTGGGTTAAAGCCTCTGCCTTCGGCTCAGGTCATGATCCCAGGGACTTGGGATCGAGCCCCGCATCGGGCTCTCTGCTCAGCAGGGAGCCTGCTTCCTCCTCTCTCTCTCTGCCTGCCTCTCTGCCTACTTGTGATCTGTCAAATAAATAAATAAAATCTTAAAAAAAAAAAAAAAAGAAATTACACAGTGGAATCTTCTTTCATGTCTTTTACACTTTTTTTTTCTTTCTTTTTTTATACTTTTTAATTTTTAAGGTAAAAAATATATCCTGGAGATTTCAGTGAAAGTTAGCATTATTTTAATTAAGAAACTGTCAGAAACCTAAATTAATAACACTAAAAATATAAACAGTGCCTTTGTATTCTCATTGTTTGAGATTAACTTCTTTTTCCAGATTATTATAGAAGCAATAATCTTTTTTTAAAAAAATTTTATTTGACAGAGAGAGAGATCACAAGTAGGCAGAGAGTCAGGCAGAGAGAGAAGGAGGAGCAGGCTCCCTGCTGAGCGGAGAGCCCAATGTGGGGCTCGATCCCAGGATCTGAGACCATGACCTGAGCTGAAGGCAGTGGCTTAACCCACTGAGCCACCCAGGTGCCCCTAGAAGCAATAATCTTGAGAAACACTATGCCTTTGACTTATTAGAAATCAGATTTATTTACAGGACATGATATAATTTATCTGTGGGAAATCATAACTTTAAATTGTTACATGTCTATATTGTTTATTCCTTAGGCATTGTTGGAGACCGTGTTTGGTGTGAAGGTGATTATAACAGGTGATGCATTTGTTCCTGGGGAAAGAAGTGTCATTATCATGAATCATCGAACGAGAATGGACTGGCTATTCCTGTGGAACTGTCTGATGAGATATAGCTACCTCAGATTGGAGAAAATTTGCCTCAAAGCTAGTCTCAAAAGTGTTCCTGGATTTGGTAGGTTATCACAAATTATTTTAAGTTGGTCATTCATTTAATATGTTACTTCCTGACCCCTGCCCTAAAACTACAGAATAACTTGTTAGACTCCACTTAAGTATTAAAATTATTCCCATTTTTTTTCTTACTAGCCTAAAAACATCAGTCACAACAGACTGTTTTAATCTCTTTTTTGAAATATTTAATGTTGAGAAAAGAAGCTCTTTTCAAGGAAGTAGATATGATCCCAGAGAGACCAACACTTGGAAGGATATGAATTAATTGTTCAGTAACTTTTTATTGCATGTCATGCTTGTGGTAATTTAGGCCAGAAAAAAATGAACTGACTCATTCAAATTCATCTAACAAATATTAATTGCCTACCGATTGATTCTTAGCAGTATACTAGTTGCTGGGATTTTCTGAATATTAAATTATTATATTATTAAATTATTATTATATTATATTAATATATAGCAGTACAGCATGTTGTATGGTAGAGAAGTAGGGATATTTCAGCATGGCATGTTACAACTTAATCTCCTTCTTCCACTTAATATGAAATGGGGTAGGGAGCAGACTAAATATGTATTCATTTTATATCTATAAAAGAAATCTCTTAGGTGGAGGGTGGAACTGAAAAATCCAAAAGCTACACTATAACACAATACTGTCAACTGAAAGAAATGTCATCAAATAAACATTTGAGAGTACGGGAGGAATAAACCACTTTGAGAAATACAAAGAACAATAATGGTCAAGAAAACAAGAAAAATGTAAGGGGGATCGATTGAAGTTAAAAAAAAAAAGAACAATAAGGCAAAATCCTATCAGAAATGTATAGGAAAACAAAGAGAATGAAAAGTGAGGGAAAAAAATTGTCAAAAAGTAGTTGAAATGGAAGTTAGTCAAAGGATGTATGTAATTAGAGCCCTTAAAAAAGACACTCAAAAGTATAACCCAAGAAAACATTCTGGGCATAAATGACATGAGAGGGGTTTCCAGGATGACAGCATGAGTGGCTCCACAGACCCGACTGCCCAGTGAGATGGTGAAAATTCTAAAACAATGAAGTCTCTCGAGATGGTCCCAAGGACATAGAGCAAATGAACATTTATTCAAGAAAGTTTACCAAGATTTGTTAAGAACAATGAGAATCTGTGGTATTTGAAACAACACATTTTCTTTTCCTTCTACTGTCAGTCAGACAGAAACTCCATTCCAGACTGGTACAATTGAAAAAACATGCCTCCTTCCCTCTCTGGCTTCTCATTAGATGGCTTTCTTCCACAAGTCCTTACTGTCTTCACTCGAATAACTTCATATTGATTAACAATGACTGGGTTCTGTGGTTTTCAAGAAAGCAAATTAAGCTAGAAGTTGCTGGTAAAATAAAAATTTTATATCTGTATATGAAGGAACAATGAATTTGAAGTACAAGAAAAACAGCTGCATTATCACTTAATGCCAAAGTTTTATTTCTGTTTAATATAATAAGTAATATATTTAAAAACTCCATTCTCCAGTGAGGTATTACTCTGACTCGAACCTAAATACAGAATATTTATCTCTTACTATGGAATTAACATTAGAGCTAAACATGCTTAGGCAGGCTTTAGGAACCATTAAATTTTCTCTTAATGTCGTATATACTATTTTAACTTGTTTGGCTGGTCCATGTTTAATTTATTTAAGAACATATATTAAACTATATAAATAAAAAATGAACATGATGAGCATGTGTGGGTCATGCTACAGCAAAGAGGGGAAGAGTAAAAATGTAGAGCTTTAGAATGTGTTCTAACTTAAGTTGCTACTAACTTAAAACTACTTATATTTGTAACAGTCTATGTAAGTCTCTTGGTAATTACAAAGCAAAACGTTGTAGTTAGAAACACAAAAGAGAGAAAGGAATTTGAGCATACCAGTGCAGAAAATCATCAAATCATAAAGGAAGGGAACCAGAGAAGAAGAGAGAACCAGAGACCTGTAAAATAGGTAGAAAACAATGAACACAATGGCAGTAAGTGCATGCTTATCAATATTTACTTTAGATGTGCATGGACTCAGTTCTCCAATTAAAAGACATTGTGGCTGACGTGACCCATCTATATGCTGCCTAAAGAAACTCACCTCAGATGTAAGAATACACACAGACTGAAAGTGAAGGGATGGAAAAGATAATCCATGCGCAGGGAAACCTAAAGAAAGCTAAATAGACTAATTAAGAGACAAGGTCATTATATAATGATAAAGAGGTCAATCTAATAAGATAGCAGTACAGTAATAGTGCAGGACTTTATTATTTTTTTACAAGATTTTTTTTTTTTTTAATGTATTTACTTGAGAGAGAGAGTGTGAGATAGCATGAGAGGGAAGAGGGTCAGGGGGAGAAGCAGACTCCCCACTGAGCAGGAAGCCTGATTCGGGACTTGATCCCGGGACTCCAAGATCATGACCTGAGCCGAAGGCAGTTGCTTAACCAACTGAGCCTCCCAGGCGCCCAATAGTGCAGGACTTTAAAACCCACTTTTATCAATGGATAGATCATCCATCCAGAAAAATCAGTAAGGAAACATTGGCCTTAAATGACATGTTAGACCAGATGAACTTTGCAGACATATAACAGAACATTTCATTCAAATTCAACAGAATACACATTCTTTTCAGGTAACACATGGAAACATTCTGCAGGGTGTATGTCAATTGTTAGGCCAGAAAACAAGTCTTTTTTCTTTTTTTTAAATTCTGGGTAGTTAACACAGTGTAATATTAGTTTTATAGTGATTCAGCACTTCCATACAATACCCAGTGCTCATCACAAGTGCACTCCTTAATCCCCATCTCCTATTTCACCCATCCCCTCAACCTACATTCCACCTGGTAACCAGTTTGTTCTCTATAGTTCAGAGTCTTGTTTGGTTTGCATCTCAATAAATTTAAGAAGATTGACATAATATTAAGCATCTTTTCTGATCCCAGTAATACGAAACTAAAAGCCATTATAAGAAGAAATCTGGAGAACTCACAAATTTGTGGACATTGAAAAACTGGTTTCTCAGGAGTATGTTGTTTAAAGAAGAAATCAAAAGAAAAATACCTTGAGGCGAATGGAAATGCAACATACCAAAAAATAAAAAACTTCTGGGCTCTGTGGCAAGAGCAGTTCTAAGAGGGGGAAGTTCATAGTGATAAAGGCCTACATCAAGAAACAAGAAAGATGTCAAATAACTTTACACCTCAAGGAACCTGAAAAAGAGGAACAAATGAAGCCTGAAGTTAGTACAGGAAGAAAATAACAAGGATCAGGTGCAAATAATAAAACTGAGTAAAAAGACAATTTGGAAACAATCAAATTTTGGAAAATGTAATCAAACCCTACAAACCTTTAGCTAGAATCACTCAAGAAAAAGAGATCACAAATAAAATTAGAAATGAAAGAAGAGATTTAAAAACTGGTACCACAGAAATACAAAGGATCATAAAAGACTGCTATGAATAGTTATATGTCAACAAATTGGACAACTTAGAAGAAATAGGTAAATTCCTAGAAGTGTAAAACCTAGCAAGACTGAGTCATGAAGAAATAGAAAATCTGAACAGACTAGTAAGATTTCATCGGTAATCCAAAACCTCCCAATAAACAAAAGTTCAGGAACAGGTGGCTTCACTGGGGAATTCTACCAAACATTTAAAGAATTAATACCAATTCTTTTCAGTCTCTTCCAAACAATAGGATGGGAGGAAACACTTCCAAAGTCATTTTACAAGGCCAGCATTATGCTCATACCAAAACCAGTTAAAGATGCCTCAATAAAACAACATGCCAGTATACCTGATGAACACAGATGTGAAAAATTCTCAACAAAATATGAGCAAACTGAACTTAAGAATAAAGTAAAAGAATACATGACATGAAGGAAGTAGCATTTGCCCTCAGGCTGCTTTAATGCACTGCTGTTTCTCAAAGCAAAATATTCTTCTCTTCTGTATTCGCTAGACTTTCATTAAGAGTCATGCTTATAAAAGAGATTCCTTTGGTTATCATTTTACCTTTGTATGAGAGTTTTGTTCTCAATAATTGCCACAGTCTGAGAATTAAAAAAAAATTAAAGAACTCATACACCATGATCAAGTAGGATTTATTCTGGGGGATGCAGGGATGATACGCCACCTGCAAATCAACCATTGTGATATACCCATTAACAAAATGAGGGATACAGATCATAAGGTCATCTCAATAGATGCCAAAAGGCATTTGACAGAATTTAGCATCTATTTATGATAAAAGTTCTCGGCAAAGTGGGTATTGAGGAAATGTATCTCAATATCATAAAGGCCGTATATGATAAGCCCATACCTCACATCATACTAAAAGCTGGAAGCTTGAGACTTTTTCTCTAAAATCAGAAATAAGACATGAATGCCTACTTTTACCACCTTTATTCAGTGTACTATTGGAAGTCCTAGACATAGGATGGTTGGATGCATGGATGGCATCCAAATTAGAGGAAGAAGAGAACTGTCACTATTTGCTGATTGCATGATGTTATACGTAGAAAACCTTGAATTTAGTAAAAGTATAGGGTACAAAATCAATATATAAATATCTGTTGCATTTCTATATAATAAACTATCAGATATTAAGAAAATAATCTCATTTATAACTGTATTAAAGAGAATAAAACACTTTGGGATAAATTTAACTAAGGGAGTGAGATAGCCTGTACACTGAAACTGTAAGATACTAGTGAAAGAAATTGAAAAGAAACAAATGGGAAGATAATTGGTCCTCATGGATTGGAATAACTAATATTGTTAAAATGTTCATATTACCCAAAGCAATGTACAGATTCAGTGCAATCTTTATCACAATTTCAGTGGTATTTCTCACAGAAATAAATAGTCCTAAAATTTGAATGGAGCCAAAAAGGGATTCCCAAATAACCAAAGCAAAAGAAGAAACAAACTTGGATGCATTACACTTCCTGCTTTCAAAGTATATTACAAGTCTGTAG